CGAAAGCAATCATAACCATGTAAATGCTAGCCTGCCGTGTGAACTTTAGATGCTACTTTTAAACTCGTAACTGATTGAATGTTTACTTGAGCTCACGTTACATGTCTGAGAGACGTGGTGCTCGTGAACGTGGTGATGAGATATTTCGAATTCGGCAGTGTGACGATACTCACGCAGCCTGTCGCTCGATTTAACCTGTCTTTGTGTTTACAAGCACCTCCCCGTCAGCCAATGCGGACTAGCGTCCGAGGGGGGGTGTTAACATGCAAGCATGCGTGTGACAGGGGAGGTATAGTAACCCCGCTGCCTTTGGCTCAAGTGTTTAACGGTCGAAGTTACATCGACCAGTTGCGCAGTTCGGGAGTATAAAGGTGACCTATCGTTATCATTGTCGCCAAGCTCCCGTGCAGAACCCTCCTCGGGGTTTTGCAGGAGGAGGGGGGGGGGGAGGAGGAGGAGGAGGAGGAGGAGGAGGAGCAGGCTGTGAAGAGGAGGACCTGGGGCCACCGGCGACGACAGCGGGCAGCCGAGGCGAAGCAGGAGCTCGGCGCGATCCGCGACGAGCTCCTGGAAAGAGGAGCCCCACGCCGCACTGCGCCCAGGGTCGCCCCGGGACGGGAGGGAAGGGGGAGAAGAGGGAAGGGGCGAGGGAGGGGAGAGGAGGGGTGGGTAGAGCCGAAGAAGAAGAAGAAGAAGAAGAAGAAGAAACAACAACTACATGCGCAATAACGTTCGCAGGTCCGCGCAACTCTCTCGGGCCGGCGCCAGATTCGCCCTCGCGGCGCTGCTGGCGCAACCCCTCGGCGCGCTAGGCGAGCCAGCATAGCAGGATCCAGCGCTGATCCAAGACAGTCCGCGCGAACCTCCCAGCGTGTATTGTATGTCCGTGCCGCCGTTGCTCCTCTGCGCAGGCGAGGGGAGGAACGGGAGGGCAGATGCGAGAGAGGGGAGAGGGGGCGAGGGGGGGGTCGGGCCAGATGCAAACAATCACAGCACCGCCTCTCCGATTTCAATGTTGTTTGAATTCCGAAGTTACTCGCTCGTGTGAGTTGTGCGTTTGGAAAGAGGACGTGTTCAAACTAGCTCGTCGATCTCGGATAGGAGGGTCCCTTTGAATGTCAATGAGGGCCCCTTCGGAGACCCCGTAGAGCTTATGCCCTTTAGAGGTCCCTTGATCTCCCGCTGCCATCCCCGTTGCCCCCTCCGCCATTTCCCCGTGCCCCTTCCAGCTGACACTTTAGTTCCTCTTTCCCCTTCCCTCTGCCCCTTCGCCGTTCACCCAGTCCCCCTCCGCTCCGTCGGCCTCATGATTCCCCTTCCCCCTTGCTCCCCCTTAACCCACCCGATCTCCTCCCCCCTCCTTCCCCAGCCCGCCGTCACCTGCCCCTCCCCCACCTCCCCTGACCCTCCCCTCCTATCTCCTGCCCCCCCCGCTCGCTCATTCGGCGCTCAGGGAGTCCAGCAGGGATAGGGAGCCACAGGAGGGAGCGGCGACGTCGTGATCGAAGTGAGCTGCCAGCACCAGGCGCGCACATGTCGGTTGGCGTCTGGTGGGTACGTGTTGGCGCCTGTGCTTGCTTGCGTGCCCCATTCCCTGGGACGCGCCTCGGGTCTTCCTTGTCCTCCCCTCCGACCCCTTCTTCTCCTGCGTCGGGCCCTCCTCGCCGGCGTGCGCCCCCGTGCCAGCTTTCACCGCCGCGAGCCGTGTCCGCGGCCGCCGACCGAGACCGTCCCCCGCGCCCCCAAAGCCCCGCGTGCGCGCGGCCGCCCAGTCGCCGAGCTCGCGGGCTCCCACCTCGCCCTGCGCCAGGAGCTCGCGGGCGCGGCGAGCGGGTCGCAGGACTGCCCGCCCCCCCCTCCCTCTCCCTCGCCCACCTCCTCCATCCCCCCCCTCTCCGCCTGTCTCTCCCGTGCCCGGGGCAGACGGGCCATCTGCAGGGCCCGGCAGGGCTGCGAGTGAGCCGAGCGCTGTGCACAGACTCCTCGGGGGCGGAGGCGAAGGTGTGTGACGTGACGATGGTGTCCAGAGCCCTCGAGCGACCGTAACAGTGTTGTGCGTGTGCGCTTGTGTGTTGTTGTTGCGGTTGTGGCTGTTGGTGTGGTTGTGTGTCGTTGCGACTGCGTGTGATGGTGTGTCGTCGTGCGTGTGGGTGTTTGTGTTTGTGCCTGTGTGTTTGCGAGTCGTGTTCGTTTGTTTGTATATGTGCACTGAGGAGGGTGTCCAGAGCCCTTGAGCGACTGTCGCAGTGCTGTGTGCTCATGCTCGCACGTGTGGGGAGGAGGGCCCACCACGCACCCATGCTGCGAGGCCCGCGCGTTGGTTCCTCACACCGCTCTTGCCTGGCGCACTCGGGCCGGCCCCTTTTGTTTGTCCCTGCACGCTGCACGTGCGGTTTTCGCCTGCCCACCCGCTCCCGGGTGCAAGGGCGCCCTCGAGGGCGCCAAGTTATTCGCGCTTCGAACCTCGCGGTTCGGCCCCGATTCCTGCTCTGGGGGGCGGCGCGAGGGCGCGAAGTTCTTCGCGCAGCGCAGAGCGCGACATTAGGCGCCCTTGTGGGGGCTCTTCCTCGCGCGCGATCGCCTGGCGCAGCCGCCCACTCGCTGCGCCGTGTGGAGTCCGGGCCAGCCTGCAGCCCATTCTGGCTCTCGCTGTGGTGACGTCGCCCGGCCGCGGGAGCACAAAGTCTGGGCCCACTTTATTTGCCCTGCGCTGCTCGCCTGAACCTGCTCCTCGGCCGCACCGCACTCGTCGTGCGCACCCGTGTGTTCGAAGCGTCCGCGCCTCACATTTCACCAGGGATGCCGATGTGCCGTTGCCTCGGAGGCCAGAGCGTTTTTGCGTGCGTGCGAGAGTGTGTGTGTGTGTGTGCGTGTGCGTGTGCGTGTGCGTGTGCGTGTGCGTGTGTGTGTGTGTGTGTGTGTGCGTGTGCGTGTGCGTGTGCGTGTGCGTGTGCGTGTGCGTGTGCGTGTGCGTGTGCGTGTGCGTGTGCGTGTGTGTGTGTGTGTGTGTGTGTGTGTGTGTGTGTGCGTGTGCGTGTGCGTGTGCGTGTGCGTGTGCGTGTGCGTGTGCGTGCGTGCGTGTGCGTGCGTGCGTGCGTGCGTGCGTGTGTGTGTGTGTGTTTGTGTGTGTGTGTGTCTGTGTGTCTGTGTGCGTCGAGGGCGGATGGTGGCTGTTCT